ACGCTATAGAGCAATACTTGCCTAAGTCGATATGACAAAATGTGACACGAAAATGGGAAGAGGATCAGGTTTGACTCCCCAAAATCTGGGACACGAAAAAGCATTGGATGTCCAATCTATGCAAGTTAGTCAATCGTTTAAATCTAAAGATGATCATGCTGGTCTTCACTACCAGAGCGCGTTGTTTTTAAGTTGAAACGTTTTGATATCTCGCGACAGGAGATACGTGGAATTATCCCCCGGAATCGTCCGTTTTCGTCAGGCACTGGTTCTGAGCTACTCGATTAGCAACAAACTTGGTCCATCGGCTCATGGGACATAATCTATGACAAGACGACAGTGGAATCCGAGCGACTGTGCACGTCTGCGAGTTGAAGCCGAAGTTGAACCTGCCTTATCTCGGCGGCGAATTTTGCGCTAGCAATAGTGTGTCGCAAAATTCAAAGCACGAAATCCAGATATTCTTCAGGGATGCGAGATTTGGCACACGGCATTTTTAGTCTACCGCGATCATCATTCTGAATAGAAATTAAATAAGTCGCGGCACCGTATGCTTTTTCTAGGACGTCCGAAAATCATCAGAGAAAACGTTCTGCGTACGATATACGGCATGTTGAGGAATCGATATCGTAGACAGTGCATTCAAATCGGCGAGAAAAGCGGACCATTGATTATATAGATCTTGGGATAAACATTCGTCTCAAGATAGATTCCTCTTCTCCCATTCTTCCAAAAGAATTGTTATATGTGCAACTTCGCTCGGACTATCACCAGACCTACAAGTCCAAGCGGATCGAAGATCTATGCAATCTTGGATAAGATCTCTTGTTTTTTAATCCAAGCTTGATTACCGGACTTCGTCACACAACGCAGTCAGTCCTCTTGAGCGGAACAATACAATCCCAACTTGGGATTTCCTTCAGGCCTCTTGATCACCACACCGCTTGCAGTCATGGGTAATAACGCGACTGGCCAACGGATGCGAGACGGTGCAAACTTCACCAATCTTCCTTAACACCCGCGTAATCAAAAATCGAACCGACACAGTACCATACGTCACCGTGTTCAATTCGTACGTACTAATTGGTTTACTTGGCGAGTATCTCCAGAGGATGTGCTGAAATCGGCGTACGCGGATTTGATGGTGGATAGAACGAGCCGATGTTTACAGAAACGAATTAAGACACTAAATAAAGTCGCTTTGGCAGGCGGACCGATTTCCACATCATTTATCGATATCCCGGTAGAGTTTCTCGCAGAACTGTCGAAGGTGACACGAAGTTTTATAGTTGAACTAGTTTCCTTGACGGCACGATGTGGTAAGAAAAAACTGTGTTGTTGATCGCGGCTGTCTGATCTAATTTGATATACTGTTAAAGAGTTGCGTCCGCCTAAACTAGTAATTTTATCATTAAAAGGAATAGCCACAGTGTATCGTTCTGCCTTGTCTCCAAAAACGGTGCTCTAGAAATGCCGCTCACAATCAGGATTTATTTCTAGGGATAACGTGTCTTCCAAAAACGCTCTATCGCATGACTTAATTCGCATTGACAGACAACGAATACGCATTCACGTCGTCGACTGCGTTTTGTGTTTTGACTATAGCGGTATTGTTGGTCATGCCTCAGTATTGTTGTGGTTCAACAATACGCGGTTAAAGACTTCAATATCTCTTGATAATTGCCCGATTGTTTAATTGTTTCCTTGTCTTCATTATGTAGCAACGTATAGTGTTTTCTTCCATATTTGCGACATTCTCGGGACAATTCTTCGTGCTATGTCCAACGTGTGAGCAATTAAAACAAATCCGGAGTCGATTTATTTTTCTTCGCCTTTCCGAGACAGGCATTTTCCGCATGTATGTGAAGGATGCTCGGCGCGACACAACAACCATTTGTCGGGCTGGTAAACATCGCGACTCATTGAGGCATGGCAGGTGTTTTTGTCATTGAACTGCCGCAATGTTTTGTTGTAGCATCGAGTTCGTAGTTATCGTGATTGAACTGATTTCTTTCGCATTTAATAAATATCTTGCTCGTTGCTCCAGACAATTCTTGGAAGGTGAGTCTCTACTTACTGTTTATCAGATTCGCCTTCCAAGAGTCCAATG